AATATGCATGTGAATAACGAGTAAGTATATGCACTTATATAATGTATATAGATTCAATAAATAGATTCATAGTTACTGAAATCATTTAGGAGTACTGTGTTTCCCTATAGATAGATATTTAGATATAAAATTCATATTGTATTGAATATTGTGTTCTGTTGGGATACTAAATAATAGATTCTTGTTAGGAGCAGTTGCAAGGTTTTGTTAAGGTTTTAAAATCTGCAGTATAGAATGGTTTTGTAAGTACAGAATATAAATTTTATATTCTCGGTTATTGTTGGGTAAACGCTATCTATGTAACAAAGAAATTAAAATCACGTTAAGAAAAAATGGAACGGTAAACTCAGCAAGAAAATGGTTGATTATTCATTGAGATACTCGTATATGTAATTTCTATGTAACATGTACATTTGTGAATGTTTAATAACAATATTATTCACTAATGATAAGGGAAAACATCGCCATGAAACCTGCCAGTTGAAGAAGATTCACAACCCTTGGAAAACGTATGAAGTAGCCAGTCCGCATTGGGTCAACGATGACATACAGCTTAAACCTTATCTTCGGAGAGAGCCGTGCCTGATTACATAGAGCCTGGGGGCCTACCATAACCTTTCTAAAAACAATCTTATTCAATATAAGCTTAAAGTAAGCTTATTATAATATTACTTATATTCGTACCATGACAAACCTGTCAACCAAGTAATGTATTATTGCTAAAGTGAAGTAAAGAACGAATGATTTCCCCTATATTGTCTATTCCTTACTAAGAATATTAATAATAAAAACGCACACAGGCAGTAAAGGTAAGGTCTTTCTTTTTTGATGGTCCGAATTCTTCTTATTTTCGTCTTATCGTAGTATAATGTGTAAGTACTTAACGTTATTTACATTCAGAGGATATTAACTTAAAAAAAGAACACTATGTAATAATAAAATCTATTACAATTACGTTGTTTTCAATCATTTTCATGAAGAAGAAAAAAAAAATAAGCTGAGTCTTGATAGTTACGTTATGAATTCGGAATTATAGTCTAGTCTCAATGGTTAGTGTCGCCAAGGACCATATAGATGTCGCTGTTATAATTTTACGAAATAAACATGGTGTATATTTATTTAACGAGAAATTATTTCTTATGTACTATTAAATAAGAAAATAAACATAATATTGAAGAGATTTATGTAAATAAATAAGTTCAACATAACTTTTAATCATTACAAATAAAAGAGTATTGTTTCAATGCGTCCGAGTAACTATTTTAAGATGGCTAAATTTGACATAAGAACAATATTACTTTAATGTTAAAGGTTAAAGTCGCGTCATAGTACGAACTGAGTGAATGAATAGTCACAAAGCTGCCAATAAAATTTCATAGATTTATTATTACAATAAGCTTACATTAAGCGGGTCATGGTACGAAAAGTCAATGCAAGGTTAAAATAATATCCGGCCGGGTTTCTAGAAGTTACAGGCGAAACGCCTTGTTCGGCAAGTTTTGTATTCGTCTCGGAAAAGCCTACAGTAACTAAAAGTCTAGCTATACTTCATAACAGTCTTCGCGAAGTTACAGGCACATGGGACTTGTCAACTTATATTTTAGGATGACAGATCTTTGCCATTTGAAGCTCTCTGTACTGTAATTATTATGGACAGGCGTGTAGCTTACGATCAGGCGCACGACTTGTATGTCTTGTCACTTGATATTATAAAAAAAAAACTACAGGGAAAACTGTGATCTTGAATCTAGGGTACGCAGCCCCAGGGCACGGCCTTCAAAGAAATAAGGAAATTTCCTTTAGCTAAATGAGTTTTCCTTCTGCTATATCAAGCATATTTAGTACACTAAATTCTTTATTATATACTTTATATATATATTTCGTTTCTTCATTATAAATATAAACTATTGTAAATAATTTTATATACTTATATTTTTTATGATTATCGAAAGAGAAGCGTCTTTAGTTGTACGCTAAAGACAAAGGAAATGGTGAAAGTAAAAGTTGTCGGTGATGCGCTTGCGTCGGAACACAATATAAATGCTAATCGAGCTCCCCTGCCTCCCTACACGCCTCGTCCTCCCGCCGCTCGAATTACACTTCGTGCACGAGTTTAAAGTTTACAAGTGACGGGAACCACTTGCTTTTCAGCTTGGCTCAGTGAACTCACGACTTTTGCTTATCTATGTTATGTTTAGTTTTGTTGTTGTATTTTATATAACAGTGCAAAATAAATTACGAAAATAGCCTTTTCTTTGAAGATATATTACACTTTTTTACGGTTCTTGATATTGTAACCGATATTGTACGCGTTTGTCTAAAAAATAGTCATTGAAAAATAATTAAAAATGTTATATTATTGAATCAAATGTTCCAATTAAAGAATCAATACAATTTAAAATGGCTTTGGTTGATTCCACATGACAGTCAAAGCATTGAGTCAATCAGTATGGGTATAATTACATAGTAAAATTAAGGATATACACTGATTAATATATGGTGTGAAAACACGAGTCTTAAAAATTTTCACGATAACAAAAAAAACATAAACTTATCTCGAAAACCGTTGTATTCAATAAGTAAGTATTGTTTAATAATAACTGAACTAAATACAACACGTACATTTATCAAATGGCTTGTCCTTGTCCAGAACCGATTCAGCAAGGGAAAAATTTCCATTCGAGCTGTAGTAGTATCCAATCCAATCACGACATACCAATCATTGTACGTAACAGGCTCAGATGGAACCAAAGTACCTACTTCATCATTTTAAATAAAATCTTGTTCAATTCAGTCTCATGTAGCACTAAATTGTAGTTGTCGGGAAGCACAGCCGGCAGTGTGCACTGCTTTGTCGAAGAAGTAAAGCGCTTGTAGCGAATGAGTAGCAAGTCTATTACAATAAGGATGGAGTGTTCCGGTATTCCAAACTCCTTTCTACGGCATTCGAGACTTTGAAGCTTTAACTCTTCAAGAGTCCGCAATAAGTGTATTGTTTCTTCGACTTTATTATAACTCATAATACCAGGTGAAATTGCAGGCGCATATATGAGACTTGTCAAGTTATGTCTCAGGGCGATGGACGCGGTGGCAGTGCCGCTGCCGTTTTGAAGCTCTAAATGGCACTGCAACTGTTACGGATAACCTTTACAATGAAAGTTATTTAATAAAAAAATGAAGAAAATTAGTTTAAACCATAAAACGACTTTAAAAATCATTCATTTATAAGGTTGTTGATTTGGAATGTACCCATTAAAGCTCGAATGGCACATACTCACTGGATCTTTTTAATGTGGTGTTAAGAAGTGTGTTCTGTTAATCACCTCAAATGCAGTTGGTTGTGACGGTATAAGTCTCAATATGCTAGTGCCAATCCTTGATATCATTTTTCCAGTTCTCACTTTCCTCTTCGACAGCTCTATTTCCAATGCTGTATTTCCTTGACTCTAGAAAGAGGTTCAAATAATTCTTTTACCTAAAGTAAATAATCCTAAAACAATTCACGAATATCGTCCCATATCCATTCTTCCTTTCCTATCCAAGGTTTTGGAGCGTCTCAGCCATAACCAATTAAGTAAATTTCTTTCCCGTCATAATCTCATAAATCCTTTCCAATCTGGCTTCCGTCCTGGCCACAGCACTGTCACGACTTTAGTGAAAATTACCGACGATATTCGTCTTGGGATGGAAAATGGCCAACTGGCTGTGCTAACAGTATTGGACTTCAGCAACATACTTAACACAGTCAATTTCGACATATGTACTTCTTACCCTGCTGCACTCTCTTGACATATCTCCAACGATAATTGATTGGTTTCACAGTTATCTGCACGGTCGCAGGCAACGAGTTCGCCATGACGATAAATTCTCCTCATAGTGTAACACGACAGCTGGCGTTCCGCAAGCGGCAAGGCGGAATTTTATCTCCACTTCTGTTTGCCATATTTATTAACTCTATTTCTCTTAATCTTTCTTGTTCCTACCACCGATATATGCAGACGATCTACAGCTATACTGTCAAGCACCGCCTTCAAGGTTAGCCGAGGCTATAACGACTACAAATCTGAACCTGCATCGTATCACGGAGTGGAGTGAGGCATTTGGACCTTCTGTCAATCCTATCAAAACTCACGTGATGATAGTGGATAGCTTCAGATTACTATCCAAAGTTTTGGTGGTTTGGACATTCATTTTAGCCTCACGGTAAAAAATTTGGGAATAATCATGGACAGTTCTCTGCGTTGGGGTCCGCAACTACAAGCTGTCAGCCGTAAATTGTATGCCTCGGCTGCATCGTATCTTAGGGAGTTTAGCTTAGTATTAGCCGGTGTTGTTCGCGTCCGTAGGCTGTGACTCTAGATTCCCTACACGTGACTCCTGGGTAGTGCCAAATGAACAACTGATTCCTTAAGATCTCAGGTTTCATAACCGGCTTTACGATGGTCTCATGTAATATCCAAATATCGCCTAGCTTAGTGGCAGAGCCCTCATAGGACTCGACTGGTTAGCGAACACCCTCGCGTCGGAATCTGTCGCAAAGCACCTTTGAGTATGTTCCGACTGTGCGCGCGAGTACCAGCTCCTCCCTCCCGATTGCCACAGTCTCACCAGTTCTCGGCTCGCATGGTCCTGTACCCCTGCTCTGCTGCACTGAGCGTGCCGCTTTGACGTGGGGGCCAGGGAGACCCGGTGAAACGGTTGTCCGCTGGCCGCCCGCTGGTACGTAGAGGACTCGAACTCGGGCTTGTCCCAGCCAAGGAGGCTGTCCTACCGCCAGTGATAAAAGCCTATGAGTTGGTCTTCGTGCCCGACAGGGACCCCGGAGTGGAACCCGTCGGCCAAATTTAGGTTGGACCGGGGGCCCTTCCGTCCCGCATGTCAGGGAGGTGCTACACTTGGTGTTCCAGGGTGGAATAGGGTCTAATTTTTTACCCAAGTAACTGTTGAGATTGCGGTAATCCACTTCCCTTTACATGTTTTTATTTATGGCTGCTAAAAAAATGGGAAAACGTTTATACAGCGGCGTCCTGTTCCACTTTAAATGTGGACTTTTCAACATCAAGGCACTTCACTCTAACTTGAACGACGTTCATCACCATCTCGAGACGTCCAAGCCGGCCTTATTTTTCCTGGCGGAGCCTCAGATATCTACCCCGTCTGACGTATTGTACCTCATGTACCCCGGATACAGTCTGGAATACAAGTTTGTTTCTCGGGCTGGGGTGGGCATGTATGTTCGGGATAATATCTGCTGTCACCGTCTAGGCAGTTTCGAAGGGACCTGTCTTTACTATGGGGGCGTGTTGATTACGGGAGCCACACCTAGATCTACGCGTGCCTGTACAGGTCTCATAGCGGAGACTCGGAAACTGACCGACTCCTAAGGTGCGTCCAAAAGGGACTCGACGAAATCCTGCAACAGCTTCCCTCTGTGGAGGTGTTGATTCTCGGCGACTTTAACGCCCACCACATGGAGTGGTTAGGATCAGCACGTACCGATTATACAGGGAGAGCTGTGCGCGACTTTGCCGCTGCATATGACCTCACACAATTAGTCGATGGTCAAACCAGAGTACCGGACATTGAAGGTCATACCCCTGGTTTGCTGGACCTAATGCTGACGTCTCTCCCAGACGGCATTCGGGTGTCCTGCCATGCCTGCTTGGGAACATCTGATCATCTACTGATCCGTTCTGAGGTGAGTGTTACCCATGCCAGAAGCTCCCGACCACCTGGGAAGCGTCGTGTTTGGCATTATGGGTCAGCTGATTGGGACGGATTGCGTGAGTTCTACGCCTCCTTCCCATGGAAGCAATTGAGCTTCTCTTCGGGCGATCCTGACGTCTGCGCAGCATCCATTGCCGAGGCGATACTGTTGGGCATGCATGGTTTTATTCCAAACTCTGCAGTGCGCGTCGGTGGTCGCTCTCATCCTTGGTTTGGTAGGTCTTGCGCTGAACAATAGAACAACTTCGACGTTTCCTCGGTATGATTAATTACTACCGAGAAGACATACCGAATGCCGCATCCATACAGGCTCCACTCAACGTTTATCTGCACAACAGCAAAAGAAAAGATAAAACAAAAATAGTATGAACTGAAGAAGCTACACAAGCCTTCACAAAATGCAAAGAAAGTATTCAAAACGCAACAATTCTTGCACATCCGAATCACTCCGTCCCGCTCGTACTCATGTTCGACGCGTCGAATTCATGCGCCGGAGCCGTGCTATGCTGTAGCAATCAACAAACAAAAGCTGCCAACAGCCAACGAACAAATTTTTTGCGAATGTTCTGTGTCACGGACCGTACATACCAGAGGCACTCCGTTACAACGCTTTTAACGCAGTACACGGACTTAGTCTCACCGGAGTAAGAACGACGCGCACGCTTAAGGATCGTTTCTTCTGGCCCAGCCATCATCATTATATCAGAAGGTTGCGTGTTCAAATCACGTCGGGGTCACCACTTTGGTAGCTTCTCAGTTGGTTAAGTAGTGAAAGCCGGGTCAGGATCAGGATGCATATTGATTATTGTAAAATCCTTACAGAAGTACATTTCTTAATCTCTAAGTTAGTAACTTGTTACTTAAGTGATGCCGGGTGTACGTCGCCTCAGTGGCGCCGCCCTCGCGAAGATACGATGCACTGCTGCAGCGGCACGTAAATACGAAGCGCGAGCGAAATTTAACTCAGTGTTTGCCAGCGCGCCGAGCGTTGCGGATGTATATACATTGTTGCAGCTACATACTGTTGCTGGGCTGCTTATCCTTCTTTCAAAACATGTATTGTAAGTATTGTGTATGTAGGAATATATATTATTATGTAGTTGTATGTTATTGTATCGTATACATGTAATATTATATTATATATATGCATGTTGTTTAATAATTTCTATATGTATGTGTAAATGTTTATATATAGCACCCCCGCTTTTATTCTTGTTTAATCTCTCTCCATCCTAAGGTTGTCTGGAAGAAATCGCTGTAAGCGATAAGACCGCCAATCGTTACCCTGCTAATGTGTTTATTTTTTTTTCTGTAATCTCTCTATGTATGTTGTGCTAACAATAAAGAATTTTCTATCTATCTGTCTGTCTTTTTAATATGTTTGATATTTTACTCCCGCGTCGATATGTAAACGCCACATTGAGTGCATCATTCAATCTGCATCTGTAAAGATAACACGCCACCATTGTTGGGGAAAAAGTGACTGATTAGCAATTGAACCGTTTTGGTTCCGAAAATCATCATTGTAACATAATCACATAACAGGCAACAACTCATATTAGTTCCGTCACGCATCGCTAGATGGCATTGGCGTCGACATAGCAAATTCTGCATCGCGGTGTTAAGATTTTCCCTCGCGGAATGACTACTGGCGGCGATGCGAACATGAATGTAATCCAACTTACTACGCATCTAGCTCTGCTTCCTTGCTTAGAACTCCGCTTTAGGTCGTTACCGTTGAACCTACTGCACTGTGCTACGCTTCTAGCGCTGCATCCTTATTGGAACTGCGCTTTAGAACGTAACACGTAGTTGTTGCACCCTGAGCCGCTTCCTAATTGGAACGTGAGTACGGGTCCTCGACTACGTGCCGATTAGGGGGAGTGCTTTCCCACTGTACCACAGACGTTGTATATGTTGTGAAATAAAACCACCACCACCATATTGTAAAATTCTGGTTTCCCTCTGTCACCCCAATAAGAACTTACTACATCATTAAATTTAACAAAACGCGACTTTTTTCACAAAGATGATTTAATCTTGATAAAGTCATAACATCTTGCTTAGCCGGTGAAAATGAAAGAGACTTAATTTTTGTTAGGTTAAATGACAACAAAGAAGTTCAGTAAATTAAAAAAATAAACCGACCTCAAAAGTTCTTGGAATTACGTCTATTTGTCAAGTTTTATTGAAATCGGTTACCGGAAAGTGCGCGAAACCGGATTCATCCCCTAGTTTGCCACCCTTAGAGGTGGAATGTTTTCTTCAAATTTAAACGGGACCAATACCGAGGTATCTAGTTTCCAACAAAAAAAGAATTATCGAAATCGGTTCCCACATTAAAAAATCCTGTGTGATTTTTAAAGACCGTCCTTTTGGCCGGTCTTTTGCTGCTCCCATTCAGGCAATATGAAAGCAAGTTTCACAATCACAAGAACATCGGTGCTCCTTGTGGGTGACATGACACAGTTGCTACTAGAGAACTTTACGACCTCCCAATTCGTTCTACAGAGCAATGTCTAAAGTTCATCAATTCTTTGATTCTTTTACGCATATCTTCAATCCTGATTCGATCTCGCACAGAACATCCAAGCATTGCCATTTCGATTATCCTTTGGGAGACCCCGAGCCTTTTTATGAGGCCCACGGCAAGCGGCCACGTCTCTGTGCGACATTTTGAACGAGAAGATATGGCACAGCTACTACTACGGTACAGATAGTACTAAAATATTATCTAGCTATTGTTGTTGACTTTATTGGAGCTATGTAAGAGTTTTATAAGGTTTATTTGAGTAATTTACTGTAAAAAGGGTTCTTCCCTTGACCTTAGATTATACGTATATTTTATTATAATTTTGTGGGTATTAAAAGTATTTGAACCCGTCTGGGTATAGAACGGTGAGTGAAAGAATGCTGTTTCAATTTGCGATAATTTTGGCTGTGGATTTAAAATTGTATACTTTAGTAATAATTACAGGAATTTGACCTACCGAGTAAATAATTTAACTTGGAAGTTTATCCATATTCATATCTCTTTAAGGTGAGGTGTGTGGGACTGCCCCTCGCGTCCCGTAACCCGCGTCCTGACAATTTATATGAATAAAGTAACAATAGGCGGAGAAAATTTGATGCAGATCCGTCATCGACAAGCGCCCGATGGCGACTGACGGAGCAGAAGGCAATGAATGTAAATTTAGTAACTAAACGGCTTCTGTTGAAAACTATTTAGCATGTTCTCTGTAGTACTTAAAGTGAAATATCTCCATATAAAAATTATATGCAAAGTTAGACATTTTATTATAGCTTGTTTTCAGGATTTTATATGACCGAGTGAAGTACCTCCATCTTATCGTGTAACAAATTAGTACATTCTTTAGACACTGTCCTTAGGTATACACCTGTATATATTTTTTGTAACGCTGTTATTAAATAGAAAATACCTTAACATTTCGATAGAAAGAAACTTATTGGCAAACATATTAGTTCTTTACAATGTTTGTTATTGTGAGAGGTATTTTATCATAAACATTTATTGTCATGATGATGTGTACCTGAGATAATAATCCGTAATTTTGTAAATTAATTAACCAGTTGATTACTTTTTATTAAGTTAGTTTTATAAGGAACGTTTTTGTCAAAAATAAAGTTTTTTTTTTATGATTCCAAGTCGTGCCGCTGGTGGTAAGAGACAAGCCAGTCCGTAACAGTTGCAGCGCCGCTCAGAGTTATAAATCGCAAAACTCTGTGGGGCACTGCCACTGCGCCAGTCACCCTGACACCTAAATTGTAAAGTCCCATGTGCCTGTAATTTCGCCAGCACCCTTACTCTTGAAAATCGGAACACAGTAATGCTGACATTACTGCTTAGCGGAAGAAAAAAGTAACAAAGCACTTCTCAGCACAAACTTTTTCAAGGGAGCTCTATTGCTACTAAAAAGTTATTGTAGATCTTCGAGGCCATTATAATTACATTCCCTAGAAATAAAGCAGCATTGCATGATCTGGTTTGCAGTTAATCAGAACGACATGTTAATTATTAAATGTATTCGAAATTGATTTCATGTCTATATGAAGTTTAGGTAATAATTGAAAATACAAATCAGTAAAAATTATTATTAGCAATAAGTGTACGAATAATATATATTATAATAATAAAATAAATGTACGAATAATATATATTATAATATATGTTAAAATAATTGTATCATTAGGTTTATGTTTAAATTGTGCTACGTCCTAACAGGGTATCACATGTATGTATCTAAGTTTATTAAAATGTGAATTGCAATAAATGAAATGAAATTAAATGTAATAGTAATAAAAATGTTTAATAATTATAAAAATAATAATTTAATTAATTTTAAGATAAAAATATTATGTAATAATTATGTTTATTAATAATTATAGAATCTATAATATAATTAATTATCTAAACTAATTAACTACGTTCAAGCTTGCAATGTATTTAAATTCCATTGTAACTTTGCTACACCCTTACAGGGTATCACATGTATAAGTTTATCATCCATGTGAAATGCAAATAAATAAATGAATGAATGAATGAAATGAATTAGAAAAGCAAACTTATCACACTATGTCATATCCTAGTAAAAAGTTTACGATACTTGCAATGAAGCTATACTTGAAAATATTACTTGACAAACTCGTTTTATTTTATTATTTACATTTATTACAATATGTGTTTCACAGCTGGGCACGGGTCTTCTCTATGGAAAGGGCCATTGTCCGCCATATTGTGGACAGATTCGGACACGTTTTTCAAGGTTTGTCAATTATCTTCGACGTGCAGGTGACATCACGATGATTTCATTCACCGTTAGCAAGAGGTATTGCTGGTAAATATTCACAAGAAGAAGAAGTAGCAACTGTTTCCCCACCACCGCTCTTGGAATTCTATGAATCGTAAATAGGATAGTCAGAAGGCAGACAATAAAATTGAAGCCGATGTGAATATTAAAAAGCTTTTTCTACAAGATAATATAATTTCAATTTATAAAAGAGAAACACTTCATTTGGGTTCTAAACTTTATCTTTTGCTTCCAAATGAGCTGACAATGTAAGATTAGGCACCCAGAGGCGATCGAACTGTAAAGGACTTTAATGAGCTTCACAACGTCGTAAAAAAGAGACGAATCAAATTTACGTCCATATAAATGTGTTGGATTACTGGCTCTCTCGTCCTTCCCTCGGAATA